TGTTAACAATGCCTGGTTCTAGGCATTATTCACATTGCCTAATCCGCTAACTTTTCTTTGCCATTTTTTGAACCTTTGCAGATTGATTTATATAGCGAAAATGTACTCTACGTGTAGCTAAAAGAGTGCACTTTAATTTAATATAAGTTTTATTAAAATCTATTTACTCTTAGTATAAAAAATATTTGCCGAAACATTTTAATAAAACGGCAAAGTAGGAAAAAATTTGCAGCATCGCGTTCTTTGCCATTTTATGAATCTTTGTAGATTATTTTATACCGTGAGAAAGTACTCTACGTGTAGCCAAAAGTGTGCACTTTAATTTGATATAAAAATCATTAAAATCCATTTGCTAAAAGTATAAAAAATATTTACCGAAACTTTTCAAAGAAATTGCAAAGATGCTCAATTTACAGCATTGCATTCTCTGACATTTTTTGAAGTTTCCATGCTTAATTTATAACTCGATATAGTATTCTACACGTAGACAAAAGATTGTACTTTAATTTAATATAAGTTTCATTAAAATTTATTCACTTTTAGTATAAAAAATATTTACCAAAATTTTTCAAAGAAATTGCAAAACATGGACAATTTACAACATTGCATTCTCTGACATTTTATGAAGTTTACATGGTAAATTTATAACTCGATATGATATTCTATGCGTAGACAAAAGAGTGTACTTTAATTTAATATAAAAATTATTAAGATCCCCTTGCTATAAGTATAAATAATTTTTTTCGAACTTTTTTTTATTGCAATGTATTGTCAATCAAAACAGATCAACTTTTGTTTAAAGTATTTTCTTGTTCAGATTATCGCAAGTACTTAAAAAATCGTGACTAGAGTTATGTGGGCACCCTATATACTTTCAAAATTAGACAATTGTAAAAATCGTTTAATTTCAATCTTGAAAAATGTAATAACACTTAAAATAAAATAGTATTATCATGCAGTAAGTCGTTTGAAAGTTTTTCAATGTACTGCCAATCAATTATTTATCATTTACGTCAGTTTATACTAATTAAACATACATAGATGAAAAAAAAAAAAAAACGTCCGATCGTATCGATTGTTTACATTCGAATACGTTTTCGACATTGAAAAAATAATTCGGAAGATAACGAGGAAAAAATTAATTTTACAGATAACCTTCGAGGTTTTCCTATTTGCTTTTTAACACGTCAACGATATTATTAATGATGATTACTTCAAATACACTCATGCATATCTGTGTGTGTGTGTGTGTTATTGCATAGAACAATCAACTTGAATGATTAGTTGTGATAACACGTATAAAAATAAATTTCAATATCAAAATATTAAAAATAGTTAAACCACATTTAATATAAATACATATTTATTTATGCGATTTACGTAAGTATTTATTTTTATATTATAAATTAATTTCATTTATATATATTTTATTTGAATAATTATTTTTCAAATATAACTTCAACACATTGAAAATATATCTTATCGAAATAAACAAAATGTCATCGTGTTAAAAAGAATAGAAGAAAAATAAACATCTTTCCAAATCGATTACGATGGAATATTATTTAATAAATTCAATAGGAATATACGAGATAAAATAAAAACTTGAAATTTAAACAATAATTCTATACAAAATTAATAATTAATCAAATTTCAATCTGTAGACTTCATTGTCATTGTCACCAGATGATTATCAATACTATTTCTTGTAAAAAAAAAAGAGATAGATAAAAGAAAAAAAGGTAAAAAAAATGTAAAAAGTCTTGATAAAAGAACATTTTATTCGGAAACGTTTAGTAACTCGATAAACGAAGTATAACGTTTACTTTAAAATTCGTTTTACTTCTCTTCTTACTATCCACCCCATTTCAAACCTTCACCCACTCCCAACCTATACCTAAGGGTTTCGTTATCCCAGCAGGTTAGCCTAGCATCAGGGCTACCAGTTTAGCGAGCAAATAAAGTGCTCGTAATGCGAAAGAGTAACCCTTTTAAAGAAGTTACCACGAACGTTTTCTTCCTTCTATTCTTTCTTCTTATTCTTATTCTTTTAATTTTCTTTTTTTTTTCATCTTCTTCTTCTTCCTTTCTTCTTCTTCCTTCATCTTGCTTTATTTTTTTTTTTCGGAGGGGGGTTGGGGGCGAAGGGTTTTTTTTTTCTTTTTTATTGTATTTAACCTCTACCAGTAGAATTATTTCGTAAGTAGTCTACGGACTCCTGGATTCACACAAATACCATTACGCTCAAGGGAAATACGCTGTAAAGTTCGCGAACCGAGGTAATTCCGATAAAAAAGTTCAATCGACTAATAACTTCCGGCTTTGTCTAATCGCGGCATTTAATCGGATAAAAGGCTCCAAGCGATCTCTTTTCTCTCTCTCTCTTTTTCTCTTTCACTCTCTTTCTTTCTTTCTTTCTTCCTTCCTTTCTTTCTTTATTTCTTTTTCTTGCGTTTGGGAACTGAAAAATCTCGGAGACCGAGTCCAAGTAAAAGGGAAAGATTTTCCAAAGGATTCATTCTTTTTCTACCCACACACACAAATAAAAGGATATTAAGAAAAAGAAAATTATTCTAAGACAAAAAACTGATTGACCTACTTTTTCTTTTATTATTTATATTTTTTTATTAAATAACATTCACATAAAAAGATTATGATTTATTACATATTTAAAAGAAAGATTAATTTATGAAGAAAATATGTACTGATAAATATTTTATATATTATTTTCCCCTTTTTTATGGGTTCAAGTAGTTTTCTTTATAAACACTTTATTATACCTATTCCAATACTACTAAAGAAGTCGTATTTTTGTACCACCTTTATGAAATCAACAGTACAAAGTTTGTTTTTTTTTCCGAGTGGGTCACCCATCCATGTTATTAACTGTTGCTTAATTTTAATGATCCAACGTGGTCAGACTGTTGACTTATTTGACATATATTATAATAAAAAAATCGGTAAAAACTTTTTTTTTTGAGCAACCAAATCATGTGAATCTATCTATAATATATATATATTATTTTATAATAGTATATGTAGTATATAATAGTATAATGGTATATTATATAATTATTTTAAATAGTTTACATATATATATATTTTTTTTTGAGCAACCAAATCATATGAATCTATCTATAATATATATATATAAACATATACAACCTTTATTTTAAAATTTATTAAAATAATCATAATTAATATGTTAAATAAAAATTTCATTGATATAATTATATTCGTCTAAACAACGATTATCGATTTCAAATTTCCGAATACATTTTCTATAATTTACTATAGTAGTACAATACACGATTGCATATACAAATACATTCATACATACACATATATAGGAATACATGTATATATACTTATGTAGATACGTGCCGTAGTGACATTAAGGTCTTTTTGAACGCACGGCATAAGGTAATAACAAAGCAGCATTACCTCGATCGTGCCATAATTTCTCTTGAATAAAACCACCTGACGACTAGGACGACGACGACGACGACAACGACGACTAGGACTAAAACTTAAACGAGGACTATAGTGAACATTTCTGTTGGTGTTATGTTAGTAGTGGTTCAGGTTTAGCCTAACGTTTGTCACTACTTAATCCTTATTCGTGTTAGAAAATAAAGTACTTGGTAAGTGTAGACGATATCGAACTTCTATCCGTGAGCAAGCGTGCGTGTGTAGATGCGTATCTTCGATATACATACGAACTACACGAACGATAGATCTGTTCAACTTTACCTTAACATTATGCACTCGTGTAAGAGTCACGGATCTGCTCGTGCCTTTCCTTTAGATTTAATCATTCATTCTTATATTATTTAATATTAATCACGATAATAATAATAATGATAAAAAGTTAGCAAGCAAAAGAAGAGATGAAAATAATTTTGAAATAAATAATAATAAAAGTTATATATGTTAATATATCAATGATCTTCAAAATGTATTGCATAAAATCCTGAAATCTTCTCAAGGATTTAAATATTTATATATTACATCGTATTCATTAATTTATAATATATATATATATATATTTGAAAAAATTTCATTTAAGATATTAATATCAATGCCAAGAATTTTTTTATTAACATTTTAAATAAGATAAAAAAAGCAACAAACAAAAATGTGAGCAAATCAAAAATTGATTTTTGTTTACAAGAAAGAGTTCCATACAAACAATAGTACTAATATAAACGAGGTATGTGTTGGACATAAAAAAAAAAAAACATTAATTAAATTCTTCTTCTTAATAAATACTTGCAAATCTTTTTACGATTCCAGTTTATTCATCAGAAATACGCACTTCGCATATTATTTGACCTTCGATAAAAACTTTCTCTTACTTTTCCTCTTTTGGTATGAAAAATCATTGAACGCATTATACACTCGATTAATATTTCATATACGAATTGCGAGAGAGGGATTCAATATATTTAAATATTCAATATGTCAAATAATTTATACAAATATTTATCAAATAAATATCATATCGAATATTGAATTTAAAACTGTAAGATATTTTTTAATCAAATATTTTACGTGTTAAATATTTAGCATAATATCATCATCAAATGGTAGCAGAATTACTTTATGTATATATTTATTGGCCTTTACCACTCGTGTAATAATTTTCTTCAATACTATCGATACGTTTATTGATTTATTTTATTATGAATATTAATAAGTTGAAAAGTTTATGTTTTATTTTTCATTTTTACAAACACAATTGTATCGCGAATCGCAAGGTACGCATGAGAATCATGAACCTTGGTGTATTACTCATGACTGAATTTAAGTTACTAGAAAAAAAAACAAATCGTATTTAAAATATGTGTCTGCACGATCAAGTTGAACGCGACGCGCATGCGATAAATAATCGTTTTATTCATCAATAAATAGCGATAAAGTCCCTCGTGATAAATTTCAGGGTATTTCCCCGCATGTAGTATTTTTCCATTCGTGAGTAAAGATAGTGGGTATAAATAAGGAGGAAATAATAAGTTGGACAAGTAGTATCTTACTAAAAGCCACAATGAAAAGATCATTGTTTTACTTGGTTACCGTCTTGGCGACTATTTTCCTCGACATTTCTTCCGCAGTAGATTGTAATGAGAATAAAGATAAACCAAGATTTTATACATGTCAAGGTCTTACGAATTTAGCACAAGTATGTATTCATTTTTCTATTTAAAATTATTCAAAACATTGCACGATATTAATTTTAATATTATTCAAATATTTCATCTAAAAATTAGAAAATTTGATCAATCGTTTTGCTTATTTATAATAGGTTTTTAGTATTAATAAAATAATAACTAGAAATATATATCACAACAGAATTTTATCTCTTCAACATATTATGACATAATTAAACACCCATCATTTTAATTATATTGATTATATAATTAATATAAAATGATTTCTCTAACACAACTAAACACCCATTTGTATGCGTGCGTGTGTGTATGTATGTGTACCAAATATTAATACAATAAAATAATATATAATTATTCTACATTACATAAATTTTTTGTCTAATACTGGATCGTTCATTTGTAAATGAAATTTAAAACTGTTAATAATACTTCGCATCTCGATCTTATTTTTATATTTCTTCTTGTTAATCTAATCTTATTTAATGATGAACGATCTTAACTGTCCGTAAATCAGTTGGACTCGTTACCGGACTCTACAGTCGGACTTAGATTAGAGAAGTCTACCATCAGCAGAATACCAGCCGACGCTTTCTCAAGATTCGCTGGTAGTCTGATAGAATTGAGGATCACCGGATGTTCCTTGGAAAGTATAGAAGCCCATGCATTCAGAGGGCTCGATAAACTAGAGACGCTCGACTTGTCGAACAATCGGATCCAAGCAATCGAGGCTTCCTGGGTACGGGGATTGTTCAACTTGAAGGAATTGATCGTTTTGAGAAATCGAATAACTAGAATTGAACCAGAGTTTTACGAGCTTTTACCGAAACTTCAAATACTTGATGTAGCTTACAACGAATTAGTCGAGTGTATAACGAAAGAAAATTTCAAGAAATTGAAGAATTTAAAATTGGTATTGATAGCAAGCAATCCGTGGTCATATCGTTGCCGATCAAACATGACGTATGCTTTTAAAACAAATCACATTAATTTCATCAAGGATTGGTCAATTGGCGATCTTTTGATAGAAGAATGTTTAGCACACGAACAAGGAGCTGATACAGATGATGCCATTTTAAAACAATGCGTAGATAGAAAATCATTTGAATCTATCACTCCTATATTACCTGATTTGGAACAAAAAGTATTAGAATTGTCTAACAAGGTCGAGGAATTGCGTAATGAGGTGAATAATATTAAAAAACGTTCGTAAGAAAGAAACTTTTTTCTTATCTTTATAGACCCTAATAATCTTCAACACTAAGAATAGACAGACTATATTACATAATACAAGGTTACACTATAGATTATTCACACTATGCTATGGTTATATTCTCTATGTATCAAACCACCTATATAAATGAATAAATTTAATTACAATTAACCAGACAATATTAATAATTGGTATAATATTACTAAATAATATATATATGATGATGTCATTTCCATATACATACATACATAGTACTTGAATACCTAAAACATGACGTATTAAATGAAATAATAATATAATAAATACTTAAATGCAATTGGATGGATAAAAATATTATAAAATATTTAATTATCAATATTCTTGTCCAAACAATATATTAATATATAAGTTTCAAAGTGAATTAAAGACAGTTAATAAATCTGATGAACAATTTATTTTGACCTTGTTGAACGTTTCGTCCCTTACTGGGGACTTCCTCAGCAACTACAAATTTTTTGTTTATTATGACATGTTAAAAAATATAAACATTACAATAAACTCTAATTTTTTTTTTTCACCTTGATCACTTAGTTCACGCGTCAATACATATTATTACAATTGTAATATATATATTACAATTACAATTACAATTTGTAATATGTTAAGTTTTATTGTAATGTATGACTCTGGAAATAAGATAATATGTATTGACGCGTGAACTAAGTGATCAAGGTGAAAAAAAAAATTAGAGTTTATTGTAATGTTTATATTTTTTAACAAGTCATAATAAAAAAAAAAATTTGTAGTTGCTGAGGAAGTCCCCAGTAAGGGACGAAGCGTTCAACAAGGTCAAAATAAATTGTTCATCAGATTTATTAACTGTCTTTAATTCCCTTTGAAACTTATATATTATAAAATATTTTTCATTAGGACACTTAATTATTCTTAAGTTAATTGTTCCAATAGTTATTACTTAAAGATAGACCCAGTAGCTTATATGTGAGGCACGCGTTCGCAGAAACGTTAAATCATAGTTCGTCTGAAAGCTGATCCACGATATCTTCTCGGTCGAGGTTGGTTATATCCTCGCAAAGCGGGACAAGAACATCCCGGGCTGCGGTTAACCGCCATTCATCACGCGGTGGAGGAGGGCTGGTTAAAAAATGCGTATCGTACACGCGGGATAGATCACGCTCGCAAACCCGTGAGATCTTTGACGCGGTTTCCGCGGTCATTAATAATGCTGCTCGAGGCGGCAGAGGTGAATGAAAAAAAAAAAAAAAATAGGAAAAAAAACAAGAAGAAAAGAAAAAGAATTGGAAAGGGGAAAAAAAATATAAATAGTGATACGAAACGAAACGAAATGAAACGAAAGATAGAAAGAGAGTATGTTTGAGAGAGAGAGAGAGAGAAAAGATGGAAAAGATCTCTTTGCGAAATGTATGTTTGTGTGTGTTTGTGAGGGAGAGAAAGAGAGGGTAAAAGTGGACAGCAAAAGATAGGAGGAACGCCGTATTTGCTGCCGATATGTCGTCCTAAGAGTAATGTTGCTATCGTCTCCTCGTTATAGTCACTTCTTGGCAGGTTAAAGAACGATTTAGAAGAGAAACGTTATTCCATCTCTCTTTCTCGTTACGCTCTGATCAAATAAATTTAACTTCAAGTAAATACCTAGACATGTTTTGTGCATCCTTTTCTTTTTTCTTTTTTTTTTCTTTTTTCTTACTTATAACTCTCTCGTTCGTTGATTCATTCTAATTTTATCATAACGAAATAGAATTGAACTTATAACAATAAGTATAACTTAAATTATATTAATTTTAATGTACGCTTGTACTAATCGTGAAAAGAAAAAAAACACGATTGTAATAATTAATTATATTTATGTAGAATAATATAATAAAATTATTGATCATAGAATGATTAATAATTGTACCAAGACATATTTTATCTTAACGAAATAGAATTGAACTTATAACAATAGGTATAACTTAAATTATATTAATTTGTATGTATGCTTGTAATAATCGTGAAAAAAAAAAAATATTATATAATATATTTATTTAGAATAATAAAAAATTATTGATCATAGAATCATTAATAATTGTACGATACTGAAATTATTAAATTACTTAATAATGAAATTTTGTAATATTAAAAATATTTGAGTATGCAATAGACAAGAAAGAATATGATACCAACTAACGGTATCTATACATATAACATAAGAAAATAAGTGATTTTCATGGATACCATAACGCGTATAGAATCTTAGCAGTAAGATTAAAGCAGAAGACGACGAGAGGTTCTTAAGATCGACATCAATGGAGTGACATCGTTGAGATAGAAAGTTTGTATACAATATAATATAATATATACATACATACATATGTACACTATCTCTTTCTATCTTTGAAGAGATATTGTTCGAGGAAAAGCATTTGCCAGTGATTTATAGAGAGAAGGACGTCCTGCATCCAGAGTACCAGCTCCTGGATATCACGTCATCCTTGTTGTCTTCGTCTTCGGAACGGTTAGATGCGGTTCTGTGCGGTACGATACGGTACGGAACGTTCACCGTATGCGGGAGTGCTCCAGTTCCCACGCGATTCTGAGTTATACACTGGCTATACTAAAACAGACCGAGAAACACACTAACGTAAGAGATAGAAAAGGATTGTGAAAGAAAGAAAGAGATAGCAAGTGTGCATCTATCTTTCTTTCTCTTTCTTTATCTCTCATTATACGCTTTTGACTCTCTCATTTATTTAATCATTATCTCTCTTTCTCTTTCTCTCTCATTTTAATAAAATATCTTTTTTCTTTTGTCTATTATTTATTTGCATATTCTCTTTTTCTTTCACTCCATCTGTTTCCCTTTATTTAGCTGTTTCTCTCGTTCTGTTTTATTCTTGATCTATCTCTCTCTCTCTCTCTCTCTCTATTTAAGCTGTTTGTATTTCTCTCTATCTATATATATATCTCTGTCTGTTTCTGTATATTCCTGTAATTCATGTCTCTCTCTCACTCTTACCCGTTGGTTCGCGCCTTCCGTGAGACAGAACGCGCCGAGTATTTATGCGGACCGTGTGTATGCATCCAGAATACGCATCCGGTGCGAGCTTGCAACCGGGTTACCTTCGCTTTGGCGCGAACAAGCCACGCGTCAAAGTGGAATTTTGTCGAATCAAGATCATGTAGTGTTACTCTTGTTTTATTCGAATTTTTTTTTTTTTATCTTTTTTCCTTCCACCTCCCATCTCTATATTTTTACTCTTTTTTTTCTTTCATTCGTAAATCTATATTTATCGTAAAAATTTAATCGTTTATAATTTACAAAATTTCACGTATATTTTCTTATATTTATACGCAACTACGTTTGCAACCGGTTTTTTTTATAAGATCTACGAAGATGTGTGTTTCAAATTTATTTTTTCTATTATATAATTTTCAATATATAAAATCATTTATTATAGTCTCAATTGAAAAAGTTTATGTTCGTAAAGTGTATATGTATAACAAGTATAATTTTATTCACGTATATGCATATATATATATATATATATTTATTATTAATAATACAAATTAATTATTTATTCCTTAGTTAGGCAAAATTATTCATTTACATAATACGTTACATTCATTGTTAATAGTATCTCAATTCATTAATTATTAATTTATTAATAAAAATTATACACACACACACACACACACACACACGTGTATGGTAATAGTCATGAAATTTATCAAATATAACCCACAAATTTCACACGATTAATGTAAATTTTGTTTCATTCTATCAATATGATCGAATAAAATATAAAATAAAATATGTATTCAAACACACACACACATGTACACACACGTATAAAGAAACGCGTTCGCATATATTTCTATTAAAAAAAAAGAACAAAAAATATTCTCTCGATAGCAATTTTTCATAAACGAAAGAACTAGTCTCTGGTTACCACTAGACATAATAGTTACAAGACTTTTCTATTATTTCTACAGTTGTATGGTATGAACATTTAACGAACGGTGACGTTCGTTTCGCTTGACCGATCGTTCATGATTACTGCAACTGCAAATACGAAAGGGGTTGTATCAAAGAGAGAAAGAGAGAGAGAGAGAGAGAATCGGAAGAATTATTGTAACCGCGTAATAACCGAAAACGCGAGAATGATGATCCTGGGATACCAGAGGCAATGATCGAAACTCCGACAATGTCTGGATATTTTTTCTCTCTCTCTCTCTCTCTCTCTCTACCATTTTGTATTTTTTTTTTTTAACATTCACACAATAGCGGAAATCGAAGACCACCACGTTCGTTTCCAACCAATCCGTGGAAACATATATATATATATATATATATTATTTTTTTTTCTTTCATTCTTTGTTACTTTTTTTCTCTCTCTATATTTTTGTTAACCGAGATGGATATACATAGATAGATAATACATACGTACAAAAATAGAAAGAAAGAAAGAAATAAAGAAGAAAAGAGAGAGAGAGAGAGATAGATCCGCGCCTCGATGCACCGGACAAAAATGTCAAATCAAGCTGCGCGCAGTAGAGAATGCGAGGAGCGAAATCAAGAAAAACGTAAAAAGAACCTAGAAAGATAGAAAGAAAGAGAGAGAGAGATAGATAGATAGATAGATAGATAGAAAGAGAGAGAAAGATACGTCATCGATACCCGACGGCTTACCTGCCTGCTACGAGACAGACAGAGAGGAATAAAGATAGAAAAATAAAAAGAAAGAGAGGGAGAGAGAAAGAGAAATAATAAGAGAAGAAGAGCTACTATCCCTTTTGTTCGACAAAAAACTGTGCCTAAGATGAAAAGACACGAAGTGAGCCTTGCGGCCGGCTGGAGTCCCGCCAAATAATATACCGCCCCTTCTACGAAATTCAACCCTCCGAGTATCCACCGTCCTTTTCCTCATCCTCTTTCTCCTCTTTCCCCTCCTCCTCTTCTTCCTGTAGCACCAAGCCCAGTTCCACCCCCACCCCCCCTGTTCGCGTAACTCTTGACAAGGCAGCCACCGGCACGCTCGTGGTGGATGAACGTTCGACTCGCCGGGGGTACTTTTATATTTATTACGAAGCCACCGGGAGATTGAGAAGGGTGGTTTTGAGGGTGGTTATAAGGGGAACGGTGGGAATGGGAAATTGGGGGAGGGTAACAGAGGAGAACACGTTTCTG